TATTTTATAGTGTTCTCGCTTCTCGAATCTTTTAGGGTGCGTTTTGTATAAGGCCAAGGCTCAAAACAATCAAAGTAAAGTGCACCTTCAAATAGGGTCGAAAAATGTGGTTTCAATATCGAAAATTCTTATGATAGTCTTAAAATATATTTCCATCTTTAATTATAAAATTTAAAGCTTAAAAAATAGTGTAGATCAGACGGATCTATGAAAACTTGGTAATCTTGAAAATTGACGGTCCAGAATTCATTACAAGAAGCACTATTTCCAAATTTTGAAATCCATTTTTTCCTTATGCCTATACATTATGAGGTTGAAATGATCAATTTGAGGATATTTGAGCATCAAAACAACCTCATCTAGTATAATTTTTTAAGTGCACCCTGAAAGTGTATTGTGCGTTGGGTAACATAATCCTGCATTAACGTCGCCCGACTCACCAAACATCCATCTTAATGATGGTTGCAAAAAAGTATATGATCAAACAAAAGAGTAAAATTATTAATGGTAAAGGATTGTTTTTCAAAAAATATTCTTTTTAATTATTAAATTTGTGCTTTTACATATTAATGACCACATGGAGATTATATATTCCTAAGAAATTATGCTCAAAATCCATTTAAAAAATCGATAATAGAGAGAGGACACGCTATGAATATGAATCGGTGGACTCATATAAAGTGTATCGTTGTCCATATTTATTAATAGGATTGTCAACAAAGAGACTATTTGTCTTTTGTACATAGATATCACACTCATGAGATGTCAAATTCGATGGATTGGGGTGAGTCAAGAAGTCCGAGAAATTTTTTTTAGTATAAAACAAGAAAATAACAATTAAAAAAAAAATTTTGTTGAGAGACTATACCCTCTCTCAAAGGTCTGCAAGAGAATCTACCCCAAAACAATCTCTTCACGAGAGTCTTTGGTCCTACGACCCTTCTTGGCCCAGTCACGAACCATCGGCTGGGGCATGACTACGTCAATTCCGCTTCAAGCAACCAATGTTTAGAGACTTACCTCGGGCTTGAGACTTGGTCCAAGTCTGAGGCAAGTTACTCACGAGAGTCTAGCTGCACATTCTTATTGGAAAAAAAAGGGAAAAAAACAAGAAAAAGCTTTCTATGCTTTCCCTACAACATAGAAGTTCTATCCTTCCCTTACTATCCAGCCGTCCATTTTTTATCAAGAGAGCCACTCATCCTTTGATCTTAGATCTGACATCTCAAAGTATTTTATTTTTAATTTTTTTAATACAAATTTTCTGAATGTAAAATTTGGCACATGCCATCTTATCATTGGGGCGCACCTATAAAAAATATAAACAATAATTTTTCGATAAAATAATAATGACCAAAGTACCCCTTGAAACTTTCAAAGGTATTTTAGTCATTTTATTTTATTGAAAATATTTTTTTTTATATTTTTCATTAGTGCGAGTCTAATAGAAGAATAGAAGTCCAAAATTTGGTGTCAAAAGTGTTTATAAAAAAAAAATTAAAAATAAAATAATGTAGATAGGTGACATTGTGATTGGGGCAATCTTAACCTTCCATTAAAAAATTGACGGTAAGATAAGGGAAGGATATTACTTCTAGAGGACGTAGAAAGCTTTTCCAAAAAAACAATAAGAGAAAGGGAGAAGACATGTGGCCAAATGGGCAGCAAATCCACCCTCGAATCTCTCTCCTCCACTCATGGAATCTCTCCAGTATCTTTACTCTCACACACTTATCTCTCCATCGTCACACAGATCAATCTGTCCCCCACGTCTATCGAAGGAGAAATAAAAAGTTGATCTCTCTCTCAAGCTTCTCTCTCGAAGGAGTTGAAAAGTAACGGGTTGGATCTCCACCCCTTTTAGAGAGAGAAAGATAATAAGGAGTACATATATGCTCTCTTGATTTGGATCTTTGGTACAGAGTTATTCATGGAAGATTTGTTAGACTATGATTTGGATTGAAATATATTACCCATGCTTCAAATAAACGATGCGGAATTTTAAATTTAAGAATATATAAATCATGAAATAATCATATCATACAAATTGATTATTGGTTGATTTATAGAAAATAGGTATCTCTTTCCCAAGAGGTTATCAAACACAGAAACCAAAAACTTCTTAACTTTTCAAAAAGGTCATTAAACAACCAATAACATCAAACACAAAAACCAAGAACTTCTTAACTTTTCAAAGAGGTCATTAAACAACCAATAACTTTTTAAGTAACTTCTAATTTACCGTCCATGAAAAACTTTCAATTTACAGTTCATAAACTTGCTTCCGGTTATCAAATACGCCCGAGAGTTAGGAGAGAGAGATGAGTGATAATCAGCCTGTTTAAAAGAGATGAAAGGGGTATGCCCCTATTTCATTTTAGAGAGAAATCCGTTATTGGAGGAAGAAAGTCTTTCCCCTCTATCATGCCTCATAAGCCAAGAAGTCCGTTATTGGAAGAAGAAAGTCTCTCTCCTCTATCATGCCTTATAAGCCAAAATGACTTGCCCGTCAAACTGGTGATAAGGTTATCATCTAAACCACGCCAAACTAAAAAGGATGCTTTTTGAAGGGATACCATCGAAAGAGATCATATTCCCATGTTATAATATAACGAAACTTCACTTTTATGAGCCCAAGAATGAACACCATACGAAAGAGATCATATCCCCAAGTCATTATAATATAATGAAACTACACTTCTATGAGCCCACACTTCTAGAAAACCATGTTTATAATATATGAAAAATGATCGTATGGAACCCTCTCCCATCCATATGTGTAGGAACTTAAAGGATCACCATTAAATTTGATACGGATTTATAAAAAAGTCAAGGCCCACACACCATGTGGTAGCTTTTTTAGAAATCGGTGCCAACGTTAATGACGATCCTTTGAAGTTCAACACACATGAATGGGGACGAGTCCTATAGGATCTTTACTCTATATATAACCCAAAATTTTGCACACACACTTTCTTCATCTCAAAAATCAATTTAAAATAATAATAATAACAATTTACATCTTGGTCAAAATGACTCCCCTTCAACAATGATTCGATACCGTCCATTTGGTGAATTTCAAGATCTAGGCCTTTACGAATTCAAAATCAATTTTTTCTTTTTTAATATTGTTAATCTAATTATTATAAAGTTATCTTAACAATTTGGAAATAAAAAAAATCTTTCTAATATCTAAATCTAAATATCTTATCCAAATAGATGGCTTATGTTAATTGGGCTAAAAAATACTTTCTAAATTTTGTTTTTAAATTTTTCTTTTTTTTATGATTGTTCATTATAATAAAAAGATAATTATATTTTAAAATTTGGGTCAAACAAATATTATTATACAACCGTTGAATGAAATCACTCCCCACGTCCATAACCGATGTATGGTCTATGCTACGCAACCAGGGCATCAACAGGTTGAATGATGGAAATTCTATGGTTCTTTAATGATATCCACCCAGTTATGGCCGTCTCCATCTTCCCTCCTGCAAAGTGGACGGTGATGCCCTTCTTGCATACCAAATTCCAAAAACAAGGTGTGTATGGTATGCTTTGGTCTTAAAAAAGTGGACGGTGATGCCCTTCTTGCATACCAAATTCCAAAACAAGCTGTGTATGGTATGCTTTGGTTTTTTTTAAGAGTAGTTGACTTTTGCTCTTTCATGTAGCACATGGTTAGCACTTACCAAACACCTTCTTATACTACAAATAGGCATACAATTATGTTATGCGGAAGAAATCACACGGTTTATTGGTAACAAAGATGCAATAGTAAAAAACCTGAACCCCTAAAAAAACGACATATGAACATAATATGTATACAATTTATAAGTGTCTCTATGTGTGCATAAATTAATATATGTATAGTTCACATTTGAGTTTACATATTCAATTCAATAATCATAAGAATAGTAAACCATCACAAAAAAAATTAAATTAAAACAATAGTACAAAAAATATTACTTTGTGAAACTTATTCATTAAAAATTTCTTATACTCCAATGCAAAGTTGTCATAATAAAAAGGGAAAAAATTTAAAACCATTAACTAATTATTAATTCAAAATGTAACACCATTATTACATGGCTATTAAATACTGCCCTACGGTATTTATTCAAAAACATATGATCACACCACTTGGACCCTCAACAAAAAAATTAAAAATATTTTTTATTTCTAATCTTAACTACTCGAATCATTCTAAAAAAAAATTGTTTTTAAAATAAAATATTATTTGTTGGAAAATGGTGTTTCAATACAAAGCAATATAGTTTAATAATATTGAAAATTGGCATTTCTATACAAAGAAATACCGATCCAAAATTGAAATGTGTCCATCAGTGTTGATACATGATCAAACCCTTGAACACACACCTCCATGTTTCATAGGAACACAATCAGTAAAAACTACTGAAGAACTGGATTTTTGCTGAACTTTTAACCATAATGGATCCACACGCCCCACAAAAAGCCTTGAAAGGGGTTTGATCTCTTCTTTGATTTACTGTACATGGTGAGAAGAAATGAGCCTTTCTCAAAATTCCGGTATTTGAACCTACGAGGAAGATGGGATTACTATTTTCTATTCAAATGACAGTCATATTGTGACATGAAAACTAAAGGTTCCTCTTAACCAAGTTTATGAATTTGATGAAATAGGGCTCAATCAACATCGGAATCCTTATATAGCCCAAATCTAATTTTATCAGGAGCCAAAAAGAAAAACAACCCAAGGCAGGACCGACCAAGAAAACTCCTAAGAAGGGAAAAGTGGGCATGTATTGTGGATACTCATATGCCACTAACAAATTGGACATTCTAGTCTTTTAGCTAACATGAAAATATAGCAAGGATTCTGAAGTTCATAAAAGTTCCATGTGAGCTAATCTTAGGCCAACACTGGACAAAGCTACCTCCATCATGCTCACTCGAAGGCACTCTCAGTCGCAAAGGAAAATACACAAAACAAGATTTGATACAAACCAAAAAAATAAACAATCAATATATGGATAATTATTCTCCTAAAACACTCACATACATGACATGTAAGACTAGGAGAGCTGAGAATTCTGCAGTTTAAAACGATCCCAAGATACAAAATTCACGACCTTGAACTCGAGAACTTTCTACATAATGTATATAAAACAGTTGAGCCTTTTAAACAGAAATGCTCACTCTACAAGAAACAGAGAACATGCTAAACATGTTCCATATAAATGCACGCTATCCATATTTTGAACATAAAGAACAAGCTACATATTACTCTATTTCCTATACAACAAGGAAACACTCTACAAGATAAAGGCAATCAAGCAAGACTTCTTAAGGCAGCAAGTTCCCTCACCTCGAGGAACGCTCGCTCACTTCCCGTAGGCTTTCTGGCCTTTTGATCAATATCCCCCTCTTAGCCTCACTCCCTCGTCCTTCTGGATGACAGAGTAAGAAACACTTTACAAGATAAAGGAAATCAAGCAAGACTTCTTAAGGCAGCAAGTTCCCTCACCTTAAGCACCGGTTACATTTGGGCAGAGCGTACTCTTATATACACAACCTCCTGATAAAACCTCCTTGTTCTAAAGTATAACACTGAGGCAACAAGACAACCAATAAGAGCAGCTGATGCCATGATTAGGAAAGACACCATGAAGCAGTGGGTCCCGCTACATGATTCCTTATCTGAAGCCTCCAAATCATAGATATAACCAACCACCCAAACAGAGAGAATATAAGATCCGATTGGGCTTGCAATTGAGATGGTATTGAATAAGGTCCCCAAGTTTCTCAACCCAAAAATCTCTGAGGAGATAGTGGGCATCAAAGACCACTGAGATCCATAACATACACCAACAAGGATAGAGCCCACATATAAGGCACCACGGAAGCCAGATGAGATGACCCCATGACCAATGGCCATGGCTGCCATTGTGATGACCATGAACAATGGCCGAGCATAACCAGCTCTGTGTAAAAAGTACTCAGAAACATAACCAGCTCCAAAGCGACCAAGGAAATTCCAAATACTCCATAGAGATACTAATGTACTGATCTCTGTGGTTGTGTAGCCAAGAGACTCTCCTAATTGGCTCATGTTGTTTATGGTGGCAAGACCTGAACCCATACCACATGCCATGGCCGTGAATAATAACCAGAAGTCCCATGTTAACATGGCTTGTAATACAGTTAAGTTGTCCTCCCTTTGTGATGGCTTCATGTCATCATCAATGGATATTTGATGATAATCCGTGCCATCACTATCTCTACTGTAAAGCTCCTCTCCCTTGGTTGTACACACATGCCCATCATCATCCATCAATGTGGTGTCATCAATATTTGGAGACTGGGATGCCAACCATGAGGTTTTTGACTGGGCTCTCAATGCAACACTCAAAGGAGAGAGTAAAGTCAAGAGAAGTATGAGAAAAGTAACAATATATGCTATTGATCCAGGTGTTTGGATGTTCTCCCATATAATAATGACCACGAGATAACCAGCAAGAATCATGGCGATGAGAGAAAAATAGTTGAGATATGTCTTCTCATCCGGTTCAATTTTTGGATCGACTTTTATGAAGTACATAAGCAAGAGCGAAACAACGGTGGGCAATATAGCTAGCAAGAGAATATAAGAGGTTGGCTGTCCCCTGAATATTGTCTCATACACTTGGATTAGAATAGCACCGCTCAAGCCAAGAAATCCCTGAATAAAAACAGGTAAATAAACAAACAGAACATGAAACTTAAGAATGATCACATGAGGATAGTTCAAGAACATGACAATAAAGAAGTGCTAGTGCAAATGCTCCGGAAAAAGCAACCCTTTCCCAGAAAACACAGCAGATCACTACATTTTAATATAAGATGATGATATTTGCTAACAGGGGAAGTAGAACTGACAATAGAAATATGAGAAAATGCTGCCATTTACAGCCCCTATAACTGAAGGTAAGTTGCTGATCATGGTCTATTTCATGGGAAAGTTGGTAATATTTGCCAGGCTATCGATAGAAGACACACCCTGCTACTCATTTGGATTGCAGGATCACAGCAGCAACATTCGTAAAATGTAACATAGTAAGAAACCAGAAGATAGTAAAAATAAAAAGTATCACATCTGCATCAATTGGATTCATGCAGGTAAGTTTATAGCAAAGAATCAAACTTTGGCCTTACGTAAAATTTTAATATACGAGGATTTGTCAATATGAAGGTGGCAATAACATCCAAAGGAGAACAGATAAGAAGAATACAGCAGTCGGTAAAGATTAGAGTATTGAAAGGCACCATTAACATCACAAAAGGTAGGTAACTACTAAGGTGTACCAAAAGGATGACCTGCTTAAATCCATGAAAAATTTGGCAGTTGGTTAGCAAATAAAGAGTGTGAATTCCAATAGTGGTGATGTTTTCTTAAGCTACACCATCTTGCCAGGTAGTTTATGGAGGAGAGAGCTGTTCTGCAGTCCCATTGTCCTTAATGAAATGTTGAAAGAAGAGGAAAGGAAAACTCCACCCCCCACCCATACCACTATGAAAAATTTGTCGTAATTTTGAATATGTGCTTCAACATAGAAGATTGAAACACAGCAGAAACAATCACCTCTGTTTGAGGATATAAAGTGTATCCATTTTAACCATCAAGAAATGAGACATGTCACAGGGACCCTAAGAAGATAACTAAATCATCACAATGAATTCACAAGAGGATGACATATTGCTCTTTTACCATGTAATGCAAATGATATCCTATAATATTTCCCAGTCTGCCAGCTGGGACACAAAAAGCCAGAATGACCACTGTTTTTTTTTTTTTGATAATGTTAACCTGCCAGAATGACCACTAATTAAGACAGGGCAAGTAAAAAGTGGAAAATAATTGTACTACCTGATGCTCTTAGAATATACACACATTATAGATAACATTAGCATTGAGTCTATATTTAATTAAAGATTCTTGCTTACATATACTTGGTAAACTTCTAAGCAACTTGGCACGTCCAACAACCAGCAACCTATACATCACAAAAGGTTCAATTACTTGGCTCGATCTTGGGACTCAGCCCTGACCAAGCTCAGTAACTCGGGCGAGTCTACGTAGTATATCAGCCAAAAGAAGGACTAAAATATAAAAAAATTAAAAATGAAAAATAAAAAGCAAACTAAACTATAAACAACAATAAAAATAAAACCATGAATGTGGAATTTGCAAAAAAATTGAATTATAGTTGGAAAGAATTCAGAAAAATCCAAAAAAGGTGGAAAATAGAAAAATATAGCATATGATAAGAGAAACTCACAAATCACCATAAAAAAATTGTGATTTTTATATATAACATTTATAAATTGCTTTAGTAAAAATTTTTTTTTTTTTAATTACTTCTTATATAACCGAGTTTGTAACTAAGAACTCAGTTCGGCAAGGTGCCGATTCCGAGTCCACTTACAACAGAACTGATGCAATGTACGACCTAAAATTTGAAAAATCATCTCACATTCAAGCATAACAAGGAAATTAATAGCATGTTACCATCATCATCATTATTGTTATCAACTTATTTAACTGTTACTACTATCACCAGTTCCAATGTGATTTTATTGTGAATTTTAATGTTACCACAACTACTATGGTAGAAATAATTGTGGGATTTGAACGTGAAAACCTAGTTGAACTTCAAGGAGCTCTACAGAATGACTATAGTTCTTACTTTTTCTTTTTTTTTTCTGAGAAAAGTTTGACTTTATGCATATTAAGCATTGGTTACGAGCTCTACAGAATGACTATAGTTCTTTTCTTCTTCTTTTTTCATTTGAGACAAGGTTAACTTTATATATATTACGTATTGGTTACAATAAAGCAATATAGAAGGCATCCCACAAGTTGTGTGCTCAGATTACAAGAGTGTGGGGGGGTAAGAAAAGAGACAAGGAAACATAAAGGGAGTTTAAAAGACGAGAATTACATAAAAGGCCAAGAGCCAGTGGAGAGGTGGTAGGGACTGTAGCTGTGGAGAGATGGCGACGGAGCCATAAACTTGTTGGAGGCTGTAGCATTTTGGAGAGTCTTTCGGTTAAGTTGTGTCGCATAGGTGAAGATGGTCCTTGAAGGCTGACCGTCCGTTGAAACCCTGCAAAAAGGATAGGAGGGGACTAGACCGAGGGAAAGTAGGATGGGTGTAATGGGATGAAGAGTGGAAAGAGATGAGTTTAAGCTTAGAAAAAGCAGGGGAGAGAGGGAAGAGAGTTGGTTAGCAAAGGGTTATAGGAAGAAGAGGAAGTAGAGGACATGGAGGGAAGAAGTAGAGAAAGAGGGAGTAAGGTGTGTAGGCAAGCAGAAAAAGAGATGAAGAGCGTAAGACGTGAGCGATACAAGAGGGAATTGTTAGGAGGGGGAAAAGGGGAACAAAAGGACAGAGGCTGTTGTTTAGGGGTAGTTCGTTCATTTTAAAAATTAATGGGGCAATCGATGACTGACTTGGCTCGTCGTGCAAGTACGGCACGAGCGACACACGGAATTAAAGAGAGATGGTTTAGAGTTCAAGGATGAAGAGGAAAGGATGACACATTGGACAGCCCAGGGTCCAGTGCCATGATGGGGCAGGGATTCCGAGGAAGATCACTTGGGATGGGATGGGAGTGGAGCAGGGTTGGGAGAGAGTATGGTCCGGGGTGCCTTGAGGGTAGCGAGCAAAAAAGGGTTGCGGGCGACTATAATCCGGCGTCCACTGCGAACCACCAGACCTAGGAGGCTCAGGATTATGTTTAGCAATCTTCTGGTGTACTGTGTACTGTGGTCCAGCCTTCATGGTCATGACTGGGTCGATCATGGAGATTAGAGCCAACCTTGATGTGGTATGAAAATCCGTTGCAGTGGAGGTGGTGGAGATTGAGGATGTTATCGATGGACTCTGAGGCAATCAATGAGATGATGTTCCCTAAAGGGAGGGTGCCAAATGATTTCCAGTGCACCGAAATGAATTCACCGCAGCTATTACCAATTGTTTTGAAGACATACTGGGACCAGAGGTGCAAAGGGACTCCTATCAAGATCCAGAATTTAGACTTGCAGTATGCGCCCATTTTCTCATCCCAATGCTTCAAGGATAATAGTCCTCCTTGAAAGTTTAGTTTTGAATTGGGGACGTCTGGAGGACAAGAAGCGAGGTCCTGGAGGAGAAATGAGGTATTTGCCATTATAAAAAAGCCTACAAGTGAGCTGAGGGGCCTTGAGAACTTGTTGAAGCGATTTGGTAACCAATGTAAGAGTTTCTAAGGGAAGAGAGACATTCTTCAATCTCTGGAGAACTGGAAAGCCCGACATGGGGAGTGGAGTTAACAAAAGAGATATGGGAATTAGGTTTCTGAATTTGGCGGAGTAAGGGAAGGTTCTGTTGAAAGGAGGAGGAGGGGAGGGCTTAGTGGAGGCTGAGAGGTGGCTATTTGAAGCTGCCATCCGTGCGTAAGTTTTCGGGGTGGCAGAGGATAGAGAAGGGTTGGAAGAGGTTGAAGGGGGAGCCTGTGGGTGAGGGATGGAGGTGAGAAGCTTAGCCTGGGGGCGAGGCGATGAAGACTGTTAAGACAATAATGCCATGAGAGGAAAGGAAAATGTCTTTGCTGCTATCTTGTGACTGAGAAGTTCCGGAAAAAAAATTGTTGAGTTGTACATTAGAAGACCGAGAATGAGGCGTGTGAATCAGACCAGACTCGAGCACTATATAGAAACCAGGAACTTGGTACCAAATGGGTGCAGTTAATACAAGCGTAGTGTAAAAAAGTAGCGTGCACCGCATGAACCAGGATACCCATGAGTTAAAAGAAACAGGAACAGGGCAACCATATGCCCCATATTTATGGAACCTGATTCATCAACCAACGAGTTTCACTAGAAAACCCCCATATCAAATGCAAGAAAATTTGCGGAAGACAGGGAGTGGCAACATCCCTGGAAAATAAACAATTAGGAAAATTGACAGCATAATCAGAAGGAATTCAAATCTGATAAATATGATGATTTTTAAAACCAATACCCATGAATTACTGGAAAGTAATGCAGGATTTAACCAAACACCTAGCATAGCAAATTTTAGCCCCACCACCACTTTTTCAACAAATACAAACAATTACAGCTTTCAAGTCTCAGCTATTGCTTTATCAGCCAAGTTCCTCATGAGCAATAGCAATTAGTCAATTGCTGATAAAAATTTACAACGAGAGAGGGAAGAACCTGTGATGTTGCAAATTGTAATTATGGAAATGCAAGGAAATAATAGTAAATTGGAATAGAGAAATATCAATGAGAGAGAGAGAAACTTGCCTGGGTTGTAAATTTTATAACACAGAAAAATTCATATTGAGAGAACCTACATGGTCCTGGAGTGAAACAGGGGAAACTTAGAGAGAAAGAGAGACTGTAAGAGGAAAATCACAGAGGAGGAAGAACCTCCTCAAACAAAATTGCAAACAGAGGACCAAAAAAATTTATATCAAAAGACATAGAAACAAGACAGAGGAAAAGGAGTTTATACAAACAGAAACAGAGACAATACCTTCATGAGGCCGACGGCCGTTCCCCTCCGTTTCGGGAAATTCCGAACTGCGGTCACCACATTGGCCGTGTTAAAGAACGTCTGCGCATGCGATGCAAGAAACATGTAAACACACATCTGCCACACCGCCGGCGTCTCCACCCGGCCGGTCACACACAACCAGAGCATCAGATACCCCACAAAGCACTGCACCGCCCCAGCCACATGCACCAGCCATGGGGAGCCCGGGACGGCCGAGTAGAGGATCCCCGAGAGAACTCCGAGATTGGCCCCGACGTCCTTGGCAGAGGCGATGGTGTCGAGGGTCGACTGATCATAGGAGAGAGCGGACTTAATCGATGAGGAGTAAATTGAGAAGGTGTATGAGGAGCCGCTCGCGCACTGAATCCAAATCCCGGCCACCATCATTGCCCATCTCTGCGTGCGCTTCGAGCTCCTGGTGTTGCTGTTTTCCCTGTCTTCTCCCATCTCTAAGATTCTTTCTCTTTGGGTCGTTGGGAAGAGTTGGTCATCACCTAGAAAATACCCATTTCTCTCTGGTTCTCTCTCTATCTCTGCATCCCCCGGCAGCTAATTAGGAACAAGAAGCTCCTCTCTCTCTCTCTAAAAGCTCCTCCCCTCTCTAAAAAAGCACTCTCTCTCAATTGCAGCGGCTCCGTTAATGCACCCATGCAACGTACACACTCACACTCTGTGTTTGGTCAGTGATGTGACCCAGTACGGTTGGATCTACGCCGGGCATCCAGGGGTTTTTAGTGCACCCGAGGGATTGATATTTAGGGGGATGGAGTACATGTCATTTGCCCTTTTTTTCTGAACCTATCTTTAGAATGTATTTTTTAGCTTTTTTGGACCGTTAATGTCGCCTTTGGTTTTGTTACACTTTTACGATCTTTATATTATTTATAAGATTTTTTTTTTTTTTGTTTTTGTTTTTTTAACCCTCGTGGCCCTTTACTCAGCCGAGTTCCTCGCCTCACGTCAGGGCCGAGTCCAAAGCCTGAGGCGGGTTAAAAAACATTTGGCTTTAGCAATTCAATTTGTAATATTGTCTACTAATTTAATAAAAACTGTGGAAAGGTTCTAAAATTGGTGAAACCTATTAAAATCAATTCGTCGCTTAAGCATTGTGGTTTGTTTCACGTATATCTATAATTAGTCTGGGTTTTGGGTTTACCACCTAATGTAAATTGGCTTGCAATTTCATTATGTTCTCCATTTATTTACCTCCTCTAATTCTTGGTAACTGTAAACTATAACGGAGTGAAACTGCTCATGATTTTCATGATTGTTGCCGTACGATGAGTGTGGAAAGGAATAAATATATGATCGTTATATTAATCGCTGGTTGAAATCTCACTGATCATTGTGGTATGATAGTGGCGAAAAACAAGTGCTGTGGAGTCCCCATAGCTATCTCCCAAATGAACATTTCCATATACTTAAAGAGTATCAGCTGACTCCACCAAGTGTAGTGTTTGGTCACTTTGGGCTAGTGTCTCACGCTAGTATTACATTGAATTTTGGCCAACCTGATTTTCATGTTTTGCACGCAAATATTGTTGTCTTTCTTTTTTCCTTTATTCATGGATTTTTTTTTTTTTGGTAATTAACGTGGTAAATTAGTGAGGATTTGAGTTTCTACCTTTTGATGAAAATGGAATCAGAGACCTCAAAAAAAAATAAATAAATAAATAATTGTGTATGAGGATTTGGGCCCTACCTTTTTTGGTGAGACTTGATACACACAAAACACATTGATGTTGCTGTTGTTAGATGCATATAGTTTTCCTTTTGCTTATAAATTAAACTATCGCCAATATAAAATTAGCCCACAGAAGCTCCCGACTGAATTGGCAGCATCTATGGAGCCCTCCCCTCCCATGTGAGCAAGGCAGCATAAGTTTTGGACCAAAAATGCCTCTCCCTGTTTCTTTTCTCCCTCTCCCTCTCCCTCTACCTCTACCTCTAGCATTATCTTGCCAGCAAATTGCCCGGAACTAATCAAAATTCGCTTGACGACTGGAAAACACTGAGTCACATTTTTACTACCGCCCCTGTCATTGGAATCCTGCCGGGGAAAGCAGAGGCTAAGTGTCCAGCCATTTTTTTTTTTTTAAATCCCATCGGAATTTCCGGAGGAACACTTTTCGGTGGGAATTCAGCACCGAATATTACTAGAGAACTTCATAGGTCAAGCTCTTCCTCTCAAAAACTGGTTCTTTTGGGAGTTAGAAAACCCGAGTCCTAAAGACTTCAGGCAATTGATAGCGTGCTCTCTCTGAAAAACCAGAAGTTTTTAGTAGTCAGAAACCCTAGGCGACGGAGTTTTGCACGAAATTGTTTTCACAGCAATAGAAGGTGCTGGAAAAGTTGAAAACAGGGATCAAGAGCATTCAGATTCTAAGCAGTTTCAGGGCCCTGTCTCTGTTGATTTGATGAGAGATCCAGTGATAATTTCTACTTTTATAAGATTGCCAAAAGCGTTGCACAAGGTGGAAATACTTGCTCTATAACTAACCCGCCAGTTCATGAACCAGAGGTCGTACCTAACCATGCCCTTTCTTGAATGACTCAGAGCTCGTGCCTAGCCATGGACTTGATAGGTAGGATCCCTGCTCCTATGACTCTAATTAGTCAAGCCAAGAACTAAAAATAAACATCGGATAAGATCAAACAGTGAGTGGCTTCTCTTGATTAAAATTGGACGGTTGGATGGTAGGGGAAGCATAGATATTCTATGTTGTAGGGGAAGTATAGAAACCTTTCTTTTTTAAAAATAGGCTTTGAGGATAGTAAAGATTGAGATTTTAGAGATAAAAAGAGATAATGAGTTTTTAAAGAGAAAAATAGAGAACGAGTTTATAGGGGAGAAAGAGAAATTGGGTTTCTAGAAATAGTTTTTAGAGAGAAAAATAGAGATTGGATTTGTAAAGAGAGTTTTTACAGAGATATTGGGTTTCTATAGAGAGTTTTTAAAGAGAAACAGAAAAACTAAGTTTATAACGAACAAGTAGAGGTTTTAGAGAGAGATCGAGGATACCCAAATGAGCTGCAAATGCTTGGATGCTGGCACCCAGCCAGTACTCACATGTGGATGTGAATATAGCAGGCCTTGCCAAATTCAATGAACATAGCTTCTTCGATTCAACCACAGACCACCCAGGTTCCTTATGGGTTCCATGTCCCCTTCAAATTCAATGAAGCAATTCCCATTTTCTTGGCTTTCTCGATTCAGAAGAGGCTCATGCAGTCATGATGATCATCTCTCCCTCCCTCCAAATTCAATAAAGCTAAATGGTCTCTCTCTCCATTTGAAACCGGTCTCTCTCTCCCCATTTGAAATGGATCTCTCTCTCCATTTCAAATGAGTCTCCGTCTCCCTACAAGTGAAATGGAAAGAAACAAGTGAAATGGGTCTCAACGGAGAGGAAATAGAAGGATTGACCCTTCCCTCAAGCTGCGTTTCTTTCTCTTTTTAGGTTGCAAAATATAGGAAGGTTTCCTTTTTGGGCAAAACCTCAATGTGTACCCATAGAAACAGTCCTATTTCATAGCCGTGACATTGTAGGAAATATAAAGTTAACAATTTTTCTTATATGACAAATCCGGGTCGGGTCCACTGGAATTTTTAGAAACAAAAGAGAAATTGGATTTCTAGAGAATGAATTTCAAATTCAATAAAAAGATATTTTAGCATGTATTTATTTTTATTTTATTTTTTCTTTACTACAAATAATAAAATTTTGAATAGTGAAAGCATAATAATAAATAAAAAAAAGAGTGGTAAATTGGCTCGGTCGAATCGAGCGTTATTGGGCCTAGACGAGGCATTCCGGGCTTATCTGGCCATCGGGCTTTCTATGGCCCGGTCCGGCCCAGCCAGAGGCATGTTTCCTGCCTAAAACCGGGCCTAGCCCGGAAGCCTGAGGCCCAACTCTATCCATTGGTAGCCCTAGTTAGAACATTAAATAATATAATAAATTAGGGATTGTATTATGCAACACCATTTATATTTAATACAAGGAAATCACAATTGGTATTAGCCATTAGATGTCAAATTGGATGGATCGGAGTGTGTCACAAAGTTCGAGAATTTTTTTTTTAACTTTGAGTCTAGTTAATGACATACTTACAACCATCTGATTTGAAATCTGATGGACAAGAGTAATTGTGACCTCATTATATTAAAAGCAGTGTTCGAAAACTCGGCTAGTCCAACTTGGAACCGCCCAGTCAAAACGGAATCAGGCACTAGCCGATTCGGTTTGGGCCAGTTTTGGAGGTCCAGCCGAGTATTTAAAAAAAATAAAATAAGGGATTTTGTTTGTAATATGTTTTTTAATGTTGTTTATCATTTTGACAAATACTAGAAAGTGTTTTTTCCATAAATATTTATTTTTACATTTTCTCATCTTTTTTTTAAAATTTTAAAAAATACCTCTGCGCACAAATCAATTTTTTAAAAATCTAATTTTGCACTACTTTTCAGCTTCATTTGGATGTTCGTTGTTTAATCATGCTTTAAATATATTTTTCATATTTTTTTAGGATTTGTTTTATTTTTTTTTAATTTTAAAATACTTTTTGGACCATCCGGGACCTACCGATTAGGCTCGTTGAATCGGCCGGTTTACTAGTTATTCGGACCTAGACCTTGGCTGGTTTTCGAGGCTAGTTCGATCTTTCAAACATTGATTAGAAGTAAATGGTCACTTTTTATACTTCCCATAAAATTTATACTCAGAATCAGACTTTGACTGACTCGAGCGACTTCGGGGGAGTCTGTGTCGACGCATCAAGATATAGTTCATTTTGGTTTTTTGGCTATCTCACCTAAAAAAGTTTACTAGAAAATGTTGTTTTGATGCCTAAATATCTTTAAATTTGTCATCTCAATATCAAGATGCATGGACATGAGAACATAGTTTTTTAAAATCGTTTTTAAAAATTACGGTCAAACAGATCGTACTGACACAGTTTCTGAAAATCATTTCATTATATTGCTCTACAACCATTACATAAAATCATTTCCTGTCATTATAATATAATAAAACCACACTTCTAGAACACTATGTTTTTGGCATTTGTATGACCCCAAAACATGCACAAACCTTAATAAGATTCAATTTGCATCTTAGATAGGATCAAAATGAGCTCCCCCTCAAATAACAAATCTAGACCATTCATTTGGTGAATTTCAAGATCTAGCCCTTAACAAACTCAAAATCATTTTTTTATTTTTTAACATTGTTCATCTAATGATAATAAAACCATCTAAAGAAATTGAAAACCAAAAAATCCTTCTAAGGCCTAGATCGAAGCATCTTGTTAAAATCGACAACCTATGTTAATTGGGCTAAAAAAAAAACACTTTCTAGGTTGTGTTTTCAAAATTTTCTTTTTTTGATTGTTCATTGAAATGAAAAGAATGTATATTTTAAAATTGGGGTTAAACAAATGCCCTTAACATAATTTTTGAATATCATTTCATTATATTACTTTACAACCGTTGCATGAAATCTTTTACCTATAATGGCATGATGACATGTTATCATTCCCCATCCATATATATATAGGGAAATAACCGTGTGAGACCCTCTCACACCCATGTGTACAGGACCTTAAATGATCATCATTAAATTTGGTACAGATTTTTGGAAAAGTCAAGTCTCATACCCATGCGATAACTTTTATAGAAATCTGTATTAAATTTAATAGTGATGCTTTGAGGTCCTACACACATAGGTGTGGAAAAATCTCATAGGATTATTACTTTTATATATATATATATATACTTTTCAATGCCTATAAGCAAAGTGAATAATATTTTTGCCCCCAAAATACCCCGAAACTTTTCGGGCTGTGTGTCTATAAATAACTCAAACAAATGGTTATTAAAATATGATATAGACTATAGAAAATGAAATGAATATTGATTATTTTATATTCTAATGTATTACCTCGTCTTTCTTCTCAACCTTTTGATTAATTTAAGTGAAAACATTTGATGTTGCTGCGGGAGTAGCATTTGCTCCCTCGGGTAAAGCTCATGTAAGTAATAATTTTTGGAGCCCAAGATATTGGGATGTCGTCTCTTGAAATTAATAGTCAACCTCAAATAAAAACAATTAAATAGGACGTACCTAAAACAGAAGAAGAAGTTGATATCCCAAGATTGAACAAGGAATGTCCAAATTTTTGGAGGGCAAGATCTAGGTATTCAACAACTTGAAATCTTTTTTTTTTTTCTTGAAAATAATCATCTTTGATGGATCTCGAAATTGCAGATTGAAAAAATTTCAAAAGTTACTCTTCAGCCTGAGGGAGTGGTGGTATACTATACTCCTACCAGAGCATGCTATAAGTTTCTTTGTTTAATTATCATGTATTTAATTTGGGCAGCAACACAGAGGGCCCATGTCCAAGGTGAAATGAGTTTGGGTCCTCGGTGAAATGGTTCCCAAGGAGACTGGTAGTTGGCACGTGAGTCAATATCTGCTAACTCCTATATTCTCCATATTTCTTAAAATTTTCATATAACTTAGGAGCTCAGAAATGTAGAAACGCTCCCCACTTTTGTTGGATTCATAAAAAGCGATATGGATCTTGCCCTCAATCACGTTTTTTTCTTTTTTTTTTAAAAAAAAAAAAAAAAAGGAAAGGATCTTGGCCTCAATACAAAAGTTGGCAAACTGTTTGCACAATGGATTGATGAAGGATATATCGATCCTTGCACCTAGGTGCGGTTTGTATAAAGCCGTAGCTCTAAATAATCAAAGTAAAGTGCATTGTTAAATAGTATCGAGGAGCGTGGTTTCAATATTGAAAATCTCTGTGATAGCCTTAAAACATATTTTCAACTCTAAATATAATTTAAAGTTTCAAAAATAGTGTAGATCGATCAGATCTATGAAAACTTGAAAAACTTAAAAATTGACGGTAAAAAATGCATTACAAAATGCATTATTTCCAAAACTTGAAATCCATTTTTTTCTAATGTCAATGCATATTGAGGTCGAGATGATCAATTTGAAGATTTTAAACATCAAAACAACTTTTTCTAGTGAGGTGCACCCTAATTTGATTGTTTAGAGCCTTGGCTCTATATAAACTTTTTCCTTGAGTCACACATAAACTGAAAAATTCATATGAAAGTTAAGATTAGCATTGATCGTTAATTTTTAAGGGTATAACCATTATAAATGCTAGTGCACAAGTTTTACTTTCAATGAAAGACTATCGAAAGATGGAAGACAAAAGGATGAAATTTTAATAATGTTGGTAATAAGACTGTTTTCGTTTTGTACGAGGTTACAATTTAATCAAGGCTAGGTTAAAAGTTCAAAACATTTATGCTACACCTCTAATGTCATATTTTCTATATAGGTGCTTGTAACTTCCTATTTGACTGTACACAAGATCTTAAGTTTGACCTTTTATTCGACCGACAAGATTTTTCGCTGTGAAATATTGGCGGCAACGAAAAATTAGAGTTTCCTTTTATCATTAAAGTTGAAAAATCAAATGTATCATTTTTTATGTTATGTTGTGATATGTATCGATATTAAGGCACGTGTAGACAGCCTGTTGACACATTCATCAAACAAGCTGTGTCATATTTATGTATTTAAAATGAGGGTTTTCTTTTGTAGGTTTCGTTAAGAAGGTTAACAATCACATTGCTAGACATAAGTGGAGCCTGAGGCCCTAACCGGTCAAAGTAAGGTGCACCTAAAGAAATTTGGGGGAGAGAGAAGAACTTTTTGAGAAAATAATTCTGCCCCCACATAATTTTTGTGTTGGTTATTTCATTGTATATATAATGGTAATATAATAGTGTGATATATACTTTCATATCTTGTTATGTGCAATATATATTTTCTTATCTTGTTATATTTTCTTCTTAAAAAGAAATAGTAGTAGATTTTTTTATCTTTTTTGAATTTTGTTTCTATTACTCGGCTGGGGGCAGTTGAAGCCCGAGTTTAAAGCAAAGATCTTGAAAAACATCTCGTGGCAAAGGCTTGGTAAATATATAAGTTACTTGATTGCGAGAGGAAACAAATCGAATGATAAGTAATCAAAGAACAACTTTGTCACACACAAAATGATAGTCTAACTCAATGTGTTTTGTCCAAGTATGAAAAACATGATTAACTGTCATATTGAAAGTACTGATATACGTCACAAAAAAATGCTGGTGGCTGAGGAAGAGGCACCTCAATATCTCAAAACATAAAAGAAACCCATGTCGATTATGCAGCAGTGGATGCTATAGATCGATATTCTACTTCAGCACCTGAACAAGCCACAGTCGATTGTTTCTTAGCACTCCAAGGTATGCAGTTGGAACCAAAATAAGTGTAAAACCAAATTGTTGAACGGTGAGTGTTTGAAAACCCAACATAGTTTGCATCCAAAAAAGCATATAACTCAGAGAACTATCATATAATATTCCTATACCATAGGAATGCGTACCACTGAGATAACATAAAATCTGCTTCGTTGCCTGAAAATGTGCAATTGTAGGGGTATGCATAAATTGACATATTGTATTAACAATATAGAAAAAGGTCATGTCGTGTTATGGTAATGTATTAGAGTGCACCAACAATGCTCCGATAAAGTGATGGATTAAGAAATGGATCAGAATTCCCATGAATATTATTTTTCATTGTCAATGGTGTTGAAATAGGTTTGACACCGAGCATCTGAGCACGATCAAGAAGATCTTGGGCATATTTGCTTTGCAATAAAAAAATTCCACTTGAAAAATAAGATACCTCTATGTTAAGAAAGTGGTGAAATGTCAAAGATCTTTCATTGCAACTTCCTTTCCAAGTTGAGAATTAAACAATTCAAGAAGATCTGAATTATCACCTGTAACAACAATATCATCAACATAAAGGAGAATGATAATAGTGCCTTGAGTAGTGCGAGAAACAAATAGAGATAAATCTGCTATGCTGTAACCCCCCAGTGATAATAAATAGGCGTTAAAAACGATTAAACCATTCCCGTAGTGCTTGCTTGTGACCGTATAAATTTGCAGACATGATTTGGATATTTTGAGCTCACAAATCTAAGAGGTTGTTTCATAAATACAAATTTTTTAAACGCACCCTGCAAGAAACCATTTTTCACATCAAACTGTTTGATACGCCAATGACACACAATAGCTATGGTGAGCACAATTCGAATACTAATAGGCTTAATAACATGACTGAATGTTTCAGAGAAATCAATTACAGCAACCTGATTATATCATTTAGCAATTAGGCTGGCATTAAGTCTCTATAGACTACCATCATATTTTAATTTAGCTTTATAAACCCAATAACAACTAACAATATTCATACCTGAAAGACGTGGAACTAACTTGTAGGACCGGAGCATGAATGCTTTGAAAATGTGTTTTGTGAGTCAGCACACGCATGCGATCCCAAACCATCTAATATCCATCTTAAAGATGGAAGTTAAGAAAGAGGGCACTCAAATAGGCAGTGTAAAAAAATTAGAAAAGACTACTAAATTTAGGGAAAAAAATATATATATTTTATCTTCTCTTTATATATTCTAGATCACCATGACTCACATTCTAAACGGTTAAACACTCTTAAAATACGTGGATCCAACATTCATGCTCCTTATGAAATTCAGAGGGGGGACGCACATCTATAACATGAGCGGGGGAATCATAGAAATCCATATTTATATATAGGAGAGCAATTCTGTTGTAGATGGCTCCCGCCCAACTCAATTGCCTGCTGAAATGGAGAGGGCGGACGCTGAACCACAATGGAAGCTCAATCTGCGCCGTCAAATCGCAGAGGTAATGTAATTGTCATTCTTATTTATTATTTTGTGACTGCTTTAATTCCTTGGTACGAACTGATATGGCGGATCCCTCTCATTCCAGTAATTTACAGTGAAAGGATCGTTTAATTTGTTGACAGAAAATAGCCATAATTCCTGAAATTTATAGCGATGGTATAATCGTTCAAGAACGCCCTAATTCAAGAAGCGAAAGCAAAAATTAGTGTTGAAATTTATGGATAGGACTTCATGATGTTTGGGGACACTGCTGGTAGTTAATTGTGCTATATATTTGCGAATTGAATTTGACTTTCAGATTATATTGTATTTAATTGTATTGTATATTTTTTGTCGTAATTGTATTATATATTTTTGAATTGGGGAATGATATTTTATTGGTTTCTTTGTGGAGATGGTTGGTTTTTTGTTTTGTTTTTTTGGTTAATTGAATTAGGGGCTGTGGGAATAAAACGCCCTTGAGGCTAAGATACTTGTTTCTCGAGTAGATGGCGGCATTTTACTGGTTGTAAATTAGTTAACCAAATTTGACTGTAACTTAATTAATTGCCCCAACTGTTTAGTTGTTTGTTGGATTTATATTTGGCTTGATTGAAATTCATTGCATTCAAGTCCTTACATTCGTTAGTTGTTACAACGTACGACCACGATTCTTCTTGATGGTCTGTTGCTAACAGCAATGGCCATTCAAGATATTCTTATTATCTTTGAAAAAGTAGAAACTATTGGGAATATATTGCAATTTATCCACGGTTGATTCTTCCAAATCTATTTGCTTGGAAGACTGGACATTCTTGCAATCTTAAATCAGTTGTAAAAGACACTGGATACACATTCTATCATTCGAATAAGAGTTTTTACATGCTTTTTTCAGTTGTGTCATCGTGCTTATGCGTGGAAATAAAAAATAAAAAAATTAATGGATAAGGTAACATGTAAATTTGCCTTCTGTTTTAATGGCACCATATACTCTGGCCTGAAGAAAGGTGCCCATATAGTTTATACAATTGACTTGATGATATTTATTAATATTTTGGGTTTCACATATTTAGGTAGAAGCACTAAGGTCGATATATGGACAAGATGGAGAGTTTGAGTTCAATATGGGATTGGAGGAAAGTCTCAATAATCTGATCTTGGTATGGTTACCTGACTTGCTGATCTAGCATAGGAAATTTATTTTTAATCCATTGAAAAAATGGAAAACCATAGTCCATTGGAACATCATCATCAATGATGGACAGAAATGAAGAGAGAGTGGGACCCACCATGGGTGTCATTTCCTATTCTGGGAGTTCCCCCATCAACATCCATTGACACTGTCTATTTCTTTAGTGGACAGTGAAGACCCAATGCACTATTGTTTTTCCATGATCCCTTGGATCATAGATTACTTTCCTATGCTGCAACACATTAATTTTCTGGTATGATGCAATGCTTCCTTTTAGCAGTATACTCATAGGTTGTGAGCACTGATAAAACTTCAGTTAGCTTCACTATATAAAGTTTATAAACTGCAATGAGAAATTTATTTTCTGCTTTTCTCAGAGAGATGTGGATGCTGTTCAAGAGGAATATCATGTATCTTTTACTATCCACTTGCTTTCAGTCAAGGTGGCGGGAAGGCATGTTAGTGCAAGGTTTTACATGCCTCGTGGCTATCCAGAAGATGAGCCTCTGCATGTAAGTGTCATTTGTAGTGGGCAAATATCAAGATTAGATCATGATGCAATAAATATGGTTGCTAGAGAAGAAGCTTGTAAGCTTGTGGGGCATGAGGGTGGCTTTCAAATTCTTCAAGTAATTCAGGTTAGTAAGCTTTATTTTTTTCAATGCTTCTTTTTGGAATCCATGTATCTTACTTTGCATTTTGAATTTAAGTGTGTGAACTTTTGTGGTTTGACCTGTTCTTTTTTATTGCCCACTGATTCAATGTTTGACATGGCCAGATGTCATAGTTGATTTTTAGAATCTTCTTAGAGCATATGGGTAGGTTGTTTGACGCTTTTGACACACACTTCATATGCTTCTGTCTTCGAAAACAAACACATTCAGTTGCTTTTCTTTAACACACACTTCATATGCTTCTGTCTTCGAAAACAAACACATTCAGTTGCTTTTTGTGCATGTCTTTGTCAGGGGCATTGCCTTTGTTTACACATTTTCCTTTGTGGATGTTATTTTCTTTTAAAATTTTCCAGAGCATTTTGAAATACCCTTTAACATGGTTGCCCATATTTTTTCCATTGATATTAACGCACTACATTATTCAAAGCTGTTCTCTATTGCATGGTAGCAGAGCTGGGTTTTTGTTACACCATGGCTTGCTTCTAATCCTCTCCCCTCCACGTGGTAGGACTCCCCTGGCCACTGTTACTCAGTCCTCCAAAATGGTTGCTGACAAAAATATCTATTTCAAACCAATATGGTCTTTCTTTACTCCTTGTGGTGGTAGTTCAGCAGTAGGATTTGAACTTGAGATGTGGTGTTGCAATCATCGATTTTCAAACCAAACTGAAGATATTTGTTTCTCCAAGAGTATTGCCCACACACTTTGGAAGATTATGTCAAGCTGATTTAAACCCAATAAAAAAACATTTCCTGATTCTTTTCCATGGCATTTGACACTGCTTTGGAATTACAAGATTTGGGATAGTTATTCATGGTTAATTTTAATGAAGCTAAAAGATGATTGCATGTGATATCTCCTGTGACAGAAGACCTTATTGTCCTCATAATCAAAATAACTACTATATATCCCTTTATAAATATTAAAGGGATTGTATACTATCAAACCATTTATTCTTTGTACAAGGAGGTCACAATCATTATCAACCATTGGATGTAATATTTAATGGATTGAAGTACGTCACAACATTCGAGAAATTTTGTTTTGAACATTGTGCCCAGTTAATGACACATTCCCAACCACCTGATTTCACATCTAACGAGCAATAGTAGTTGTGACCTCCTTGTATCAAAAGTAAATTGTCTCATCATGTACATTTCCATATTAAAATTACCTTAATTCATGACCTGCGACTTCGACTACAATCCTTAATGATATGCATGTCTAGATACACAAAATGTATGATATCTTAGACATGATCTGGAGCTACTTCTATATTCAAAGAGTGGTGAGTTTGAAAGTTGGAGGGAATAATAAAAATAATATCATCAAACCACTATTTATCATGCGTAAATTTTTTTATTTTTATTTGCTATACTGCTAGATCCATTGTGTTATATACATTGTGGAAGACAGTTTCGTTGCCAGTTAATAAATTGATAAATGACATAAGAGTTCAACATATTGCATCAGTGCATTCTTACGGTACCTCTCACTCAACTTCTCGAGCTAAGATTCTCCTTTGGAGCATTGAGGTGTATTTCTTGCATGTTTCTAAGGAAAAAGCTGAGGATTTAAATAATCGAATGAGACACAATACCCACAATCAAGAGAAGCAACGAAGAGAAGAGATTGACATGTCAATATGCATCAAAAGAGTACTAATTTGGTAAGGGGTTTTATTTATTCTAAATAAAAAGGTATTTGGTTCTTGATTCCTAATACATCTAGAGCTTTGAAAATTGAACCTTTGAATGGGTTCTCATACCCATGGTTTGTAGGTTTCATCATATTAAATCACCGCAGAAGAGGAAGTCTATATTAGAGTGGAGCAAGAGCCATGATATAGGGGGTTACTTAAAATCCGGTTACCCTGGCATTCTTGTGATAGAGGTTTGTGTCTGCTCAAGCTAACTCAGTCTCCTAGTTTATGAATCATTTGAGTTTACAATAATTTTTCATACAACCATGTACTAGTTTACAATTGTATACTATTTAGCTTCTCACATGGTTTGTTTATTTCAGCAAAATCAGTTTTGAGTTTCCTACCTGAATTTTCCTTATTTTGCTCATCCAAATGGTTTAACTTAGATTTTTGTATCATAAAAGATGGATGTAATAGTTTCTTTATATTTGCATGACATGTTAATATCTGTAGACTCAAAATTATGTGCATTTCAACTTTTTATGATGATGATTTTTCCATATGAACAAATACACATCATGATTAATTTTATTTGCCCGGTTCTATTGAAGAGAAAGGAGACATGCGAGATTGTGATTAATTCTTTTGAAGCAGTAGCAGATATGTGAGAATGTGTTTGGTCACTGTCAAATGGGCATACGAGTCCAAGGTTTTGGGCATGTGTTACCTCTCTAAGAACATGACACTGATTCTTCAGAAACTTAGGCACTTTTGCTAAATTTTTCTTGTCAAAACTAAACTATAAAAGCTTTTAGCATTACTTAAAGTCCCGACCTCTCACCCCTTCTGGATGATGTTTAGATGTGCCCTAACCCAAAAGCAAATTTTGACGTTAGTGTTTATAACACGTATCCATGTTAGATGCTGACCCTTGCATCTGCATCCTTGTGACACATTAATTGTCTCGTTCTGTTGTTCACAACAGTTTGCTTTGATCGCATCTCATACTGTTGAAGAGTTGCATGATCCATGTTTGCTCAGAAAGTAGTTTCATCCTTCTCTTTTGGTGATTTTAACATTGCTTATTATTCGCTTCTGCTTACCATTTCATTTTCCTCGACTTCTACTAACTATTTTGGATTGGTTTTTCCTGCCAGGGAGAAAAATCGTGGATTGATGCTTATGTTAAACAAGTACAGTGCTTGCGTTGGCAGGCAATGAGCGTTAGAGCAGAGGAAGAGAAAGAAGTTCCAAGTTCATCAACTCTTGAAAGTTCAAGGAGATTCCCAATTGGTATGAGCCTTTAACGTATGACCCTCTTTCATTTAAATATCTTCCTAATTTAGAAAAAATCTTGGCAGTGGTAAAGGAGTTGGAAGATCATGGTGGCATGTCTGAACTTGGACGCTACTGCAAGGAGGCTAACTTGGAAGGATTGTTCTTGAGTGCTTTGAAGATAACCAGGTGAAATTGGGACATCACATATAAGAACATGAACAAATTATACATTTTGTTGTAACTTCTGGTGAGTGAAGTGTATATAGTCTCCACTCAATGTATGTGCACTTATGGAATTATTACGACCTTTTAAACTCTCTAGGCTCGGCAAATTCCTCGTTTTCTTTTTGGAACAACTATTTGCTACTACTGGTGCTAATACCGTTACCTTTTAAACTCTCTAGGCTCGGCAAATTCCTCGTTTTCTTTTTGGAACAACTATTTGCTACTACTGGTGCTAATACCGTTACCGTTTCTACTCGTTTAAACAATCTGTTGATGCAGCTGACTTACTATCCAATTAGGATGCTTGGTTGGAATTATCCCCACTGAGATATATGTTTTTTATTACACACCACATGCTTATTTTTATTTCATACCAGGGGCGTGTCTGTATTCTTTTTGTCCAACCCTTGAAGGATATTTATAATTAAATCAATGATATGTTCACTTATTTCTTGCCGCTAAATCATTGGGATAAGTCTTGGATGATTATGATATAATCACTTATTTAAGTGTAACCTTTTTGTTTTCAGAAATGAGATTGCGTTATTCTCTAGTATTTATTAGACCTCCTAGCGAATTGATCAAAAGCAAAATTTTATACAAGAGGTAAAGGGTGGTGGTAACTATACATGCAAGTCATCTTACTTGTGAATCTAGCTACTACACAGAAAGGGGGCAAGTTTTTGGCTTTGCCTAGGGAACATAAACTCATGTAAGGTCAGGCAATGGGCCAGGCCAGCCTTGGCCCTAGCCCAGGCCGTAGTCTAGCCAGCTCAAGCCCGGTCTAGGACCCTAGGCTGGGCCAAATACAATGTAAAAAAGGAAAAAAAAAAGGGTTAGAAAAAAAAGGGAAGGGCCATGCCCAACCAGGCCTGCCCTGCCGTGGCCTTGGCCCAGGTCCTACCTGGCCTGGCCTTGGAGCTTTTTTTGGGTCCCCAACCCTTAGTAGTAAGTGGTGAACTACGTGAAGCAACACCAACTTTTTGGTTCCTGGACAACGCCCATGTATTTCCCATATAGAGGGTAAATTAAGACCCCAAAAGCTAAACACCGTCCATGTCAGTATGCCAAATAGGATTTGGAATCATTCCAAGCTTTTTTTTTTTTGGGAAAATCATTTAAGGGGTTCAAACTCGGTACAAAATTTAAAAGGGTCAAAATATCCCACTTTTTTTTTTTGATAAAAAGTTCAAAAGATTACACTTGGCATTAGATGATTATTTTCATTTCATGTAGGTATCTTCACAAAAAATGTGCAAAAATGTGCTTATGTTCAGGGTTTGAAATCCTGAACAACAGAAGTATTTAAGTGATGCCACCCACTCTAAACAAGCAACCCTACTTCTTAGATGGGTTAAATTATTAAAATGGCCCTATATATTTAGGTTCCCAAACCCTAAATTAGCGCAATTTCAGTATTTTTGAAGATAATTTTTAGAAGTTACCTTAGTGAAATGAAAATTAAAAAACAAACCCCTCTATATTGTTTGATTTCTTCCCTTTAATAATTTGGAATTGTGTACTATGACATTATTTATTTTTCTTTTAAAGAAGTCATAATTGGTATTAGCTATTAGATGTCGAATTAAAGGGCTTGGAGTGTGTCACAAAGTTTGAGAATTTTTTTTTAACTTTATGTCAGCGAATGATACACTCACAATTACCCGATATCCGATGGAAAGCGAATGATACACTCACAATTATCCGATGGAGAGCAATGATAATGACATCCTTCTATTAAAAGTAAATGATCTGTTTGTATATTTTTGTAATGATTTTGAAAGGGGTTTTGACTCCTTGGATTATTTCTTTTTTTTCAAATGTTGGTCTTCCTAAGCAAATTTTTCTTTAATCAGTTCCCTGGTTCGAGTAATTCCGCAATAGGAGTAAAACTTATGACATAATATAACAATAATCAACTCTAATCAATCAAACCTCAGTCTAATTCCTAAGCCATTGATCGAGCAGATCCTGTAGACAAAGGTCAACATTCAACATTCAGCGTGTATATTCGAATCATATGCAGCTGATGAGGAAGAGGAAGATAGAAATAGTTCGAATCATATGCAGCTGATGGAAGAGCAATTCGGGATTCAAGTATAATTGGTTATTAAACTAGGCAATTTCCGGTCAAGACCAAATCAGTTCCTGAATTTTTTTTATTTTTTTATTGTTAACTATAATTTCATTGAGAGAAGTTGAAATTACAAAATCGGTTCCTGAATTGTATGGTCCTGGCCCAATTCCCTCTTAAACCCCGTTATATTTTAACTTCTTCTTCTTCTTCTTCTTTTTCTTTTTTTTTATTTTTTTTTATTTTTATTTTTTATAATAATTTTCTAGGTCCTCTTTATACTCCTCCTTAAAAACCCTTGTTTTAATTTTTATTTTTTTATTTTAATATTTTTTTAAATCATCGTTTCGAACCGATCCAAACCTAATCCAGATCTCCGGTCCAGTGACGTGACACAAATCTGTGGATGAATTATCCGCCCCACCAATCCGAGCTATGAAACACTAGATATTATAGTGTTGATGAGAATGCCATACAGTTTGCTAAAGATAGATAAAAGACAACATTTCACTTGATCAATACCAATGTTTAAAAGATCGGATTGGTGGATCAAACTTGTTCCAAATCGAACCAACCAAGTCAGTGACTCGGCTCAATTGGCCGACTCTGCCAAATAAAATACTTAATATATTTAAACAAAGTTTAGGAACTTCAATTCATTCTGAAAAAAAATAGATTTACAAGTTATAAATGATTCATCAACACGTTACGTCGAGTTACGATTTTGGGAGAAAATTAGACTCCAGTACCTACTGGTCCCGTTTCAACTCAGGTAATTCGGAACAAGGTGGGTTTTGAGCTTTGTTCCCAAAACATCTCTCTAAATATGCAACTGACATAAAAAGATGATTATTTTTTAGTGCAAATTTTAAACTGGACGTTGTTTGTATAAACAATCAAAGGTGCACCTCTAAACCCTCATGGAAGACGCAGTCTCGGTGCTGAAAACTCCTGCAATAGTATTAAAATCTATTTTAACCTAAATTTTTATCGAGCCAATATGAAAAGACTTGAAATGTTTGAAAACGGATTGTCCAAATAATTTGATATAGGATGCACTATTTCTAAGATTTGAAAGTCTAATTTATATTTATGCATATCGAGGTCAAAACGATCAATTGGTGGGTGTTCAAATATCGGAACAACTTTTATGGATTTCTAAGGTGTCTCATGCTTTTATACTTTAAAACACCTTATAAGTTAAAACGATCAATTGGTGGGTGTTCAAATATCGGAACAACTTTTATGGATTTCTAAGGTGTCTCATGCTTTTATACTTTAAAACACCTTATAAGTTAAAAAACTTGTGACTCACCAAATAAGTTAACCCCCGAGGTATTGGTGATTCCCAACACCAATATCTCCCAAAAATATACCACAAAACACAAATAACTATGTACTTCACCAAATAGCTATATCTCAACAATTTGAAATCTTATATAAATAAAGGTCATAATTTTGAATTATAAGAGATATACCTCTCTTTATAAAGCCCTCAACTCACTTCAAAACATATCCTCCCAACAAAATAACTATGTCAATCAATCTGCCTCTTTTCTATAGTTAGAAAGAACTTCCAAAGCAACATAAGATGTCTTCTATCTAGAAGTACAAATTGAACAAGCCCAAAAATATCGGGAAAACCATCTCATCTTTGGAGGTCATGCTTCTCTCTATAAATAGGTCATTTATCTTTTATATACTGAGGTCATAATCATTCTTGTCATTTAAATTTCAAAATGGGTGGCTATAAAAGTGTCATTAAATAGACATAAAGTTCCAAAACAAAGAAAATCTTGGACTTTGTGACTCACTTTAAGCCATCAAATTTGACATCTAATGAGAAAGAATGAATGTGACCTCCATATATAAAAGATCTATAAATCCTAGGCTTTATAAAAACAAAATAAAACCTCACCTCAAATCTTCGTCCGGAATGTACTTTTGGCAATAGAAATTTCCATTATGGCTCTAAAATCAATTTCCAACACTTATAATAAGATTTGAAAGTAAACAAATGTACAGATATTACGGATATGTGAATACGTATTTTTAGGATGAAACAGACGGTCTAGATAATTTGTTACAATATACATTATTTTTAGAGCTTGAAATCTTTGTTTTTTCACAACCATAACATTCAAGTCGAGATGATTCGAGTAAAGGTTTTCTAATGCTTGAATTGCAGTTTTTTTATGAGTTATGGAGTGAGAGGCTCTAATAAAATAGATGGAGATACTTCTCCCGGATCTCATCCTCCCGTTCCCAAGTCGATTCTTCTTTTGAATGAAACTGTGAAAACACACGGACAAGAGGGATTTCTTTATTGCGCAATGTTTATACTCTCTTGTCCAGTATTTCAATCGGTTGCTCGACATATGTTAAATCTTTTCAGATTAGGATTGGTTCATACTTCAAGACATGGGACGAATCAAGCTGATATTTTTTCAATAGTGATATATGAAAGACATCATATATATTAGCCAACTCGGGTTGTAGGGCCAGTCGATATGCCACAACCTCGTTTCTGTCTAAAATTTCAAAGGGTCCAATGAATCGTGGACTTATTTTCTTTTCTTGCCAAATCTCATAATGCCTTTAGTTGGTGATACCTTCAAAAAGACTCGATCACCCACTTCAAATTCGAGTTCTCTCATTCTCCTTCGATTATCAGCATAACTCTTTTGCCGACTTTGGACTATCTTGAGTCGTTCTCGAATTAAAACAATCTTTTATTTTGTCAACTAAATAATTTCTAAAGGTCGTAGCCCTATCAAACCAATTCCCAAAGAGGGATGAAGTGTACAACATCTGGGGTCCTTACAATATTTTCATTTAAGTGAGGGAGGAGCATGTGATGTTTTAATATTAAAACTTGAGCCTCTATGAATACCCTTAAGACATGTAATTGATTATATCTTAAAAATGATATTTTAAGTGTTGAAAAACCTCTAAATCGAACATCTAGTGCAAAAAATATTAAGATTTTAGATTATAAAAGTAGTGTATTTTACAACAAATCATCTAGACCATCCATTTTGTCTTAAAAATAAGCATTCACATATCCGCA